TCCTCCAGGAATCTCAGCAGCCTCCTCGGTTTGCTGAAGACTTCGGGGAGCGACCTTGGCACTCCAAGGTACTTTGCCCTGTAGTTGGCCACGCCGGAGCACTGTAGTAGGATGTGCGCAGCCGTTTCCTCCCCCTCCATGCACGCTCTGCATAGAGGGCTGCCTGTGATACCTAAATTGAAAAGGTGTTTATTGTATGGACCATGACCTGTTAGGGCGGCAGTAGTCTTACTAGAGTTTCTTTCTCATTCTTTCTGAAGGGCATTTGCCTTATGAATGAGTAGAAATAATTAAATGAATTTGACAATATAAGCGTAATTTGCAAATCTATGAAATAAAGACATATTATAATTTGAATGTGAGCTAAATATTAACAAATGTGGTTTGAGTAAACTTATATCCAAGGTCAAGTAATGAAACCACAAGAACTAATACATCCGTAAAGCGGATAAGTTTTCTCTGCACCTCCTAAACCAATAGGCTACATTGTTGGGTAAATGGTTACGTAGTATTTTGATTTATCTATCTGGATTTTACTAATTTAAGAATATGGAAAATTTACGATTTTCATTGGCTGTATGCTAAGTTCGAAGCCATTATATAACCATTAGTTAGTTCAAGTGTTAATTGTGCCAGTTTTTTATTATTATTAAAGACCTACTTTGAAAGTTTGAAATAATTAGTAGTTGGAAGTTATGACTATGTTAAATGGCTAAAAAATATTACGTTGAGCACTGTAAAGAAAATTATTAGTTTCACTCCTGTAATTTCTGTATCAAATTTAGAAGTATTTTTTACACAATACTAGGTGTTGGCTTGGTTTCCACCCTTATATTATGAATATTACAAGAATTCGCACAAAGCGTTACGCTTCCACATTTAAATGGCGAACGGCTACGGAGTGGAATACCCTGCCTGCAAACTTTTTCCCTGAACGCTTAACTTTGGCCTTTTCAGGGCAAGAATAGATAGGCATTATTTAGGCGTGCATGCTCCATTGTCGATTCCATATGGTGAGATGAAGATCAAATACCCACACATATTTTATTACAAAAATCGCATTTTCAGTGACGTCATCACTTAACATGCAGAAAAAAACTATAGAACGTAATGATCGATGCATCACAAATAGTGATCGGATATCGTATGCTTTTCACCTACAATTCGGCAGGTAGCTCGCTGACATGGAATGCGTTTTTATTTCTTAAATCTTTTATTATTATTATTGAATTTTTTCTATAATATCAAGTGACGCGACCAACAAGCTGTGCGCCTGATGGTAAAGAAAGATCCAACTAAAAAAATATCTGAGGGCCACTGCCACCACGCCAGTTACCCCGAGACACAAGCTAACAAGTCCCATGTGCCTGTAATTTCACCAGCACCCTTACTCTTCCAAACTGGAACACAGTAATGCTCACATTACTGCTTGGCGGCAGAAACAGGTAAGGTGGCAGTACTTCCCTGGATCAACTCTTTCACCAGGAACTCTACTGCTATTAAAATCTTGCAACACCGGGATTGATGAAATTATTAACTATAAAATTCTTAGAAAATAAATGAAATGAAATATATTTATTAATACAAGAGCAAGTACAACATTATCATCCTATCTCCCAAGCTAGTCGAGCCTGTATCTTGGGAGAGAGTTCCTTCCCAATCAGTGGTCACAATTCATGTATATATTATTATTATAACTAATTTGGTAGATTTAAATCTAGGACGTAACTATTAATACTATAATATTAGTAAACATTTATTATTATTATTACAGTATTGCTATATTTTAATATATTACGTTTAAATTCTTATTTGAAATTTTATGTAACACTTAAATCAACTTGATATCATATATTATAATAGAAAGCGAAGTGTAAACGTGTACCAACTTCGGACATCAAGAAAAAAAATTATAGCATTAATATTTTTTTACCGAAACCAACGTACCAACCTTAACTCTAAGTAAAGTTTAAATTTGACCCTTTTAGTTGTACACAGTATTGAGATCCAATTGACTAATAACCAAACCTATATCCTAGGACCGTAAACACACCTGTCTCTCCAGGGACATCACGAGATTGCCCAGCTATTTGCAGCCTGTTTAATCCATTCTTTTCGAAAATAGTTACTAATCTTTTGGTTCTGTTTCTTTTCATCTTTATGGAAATTACTTCCAATATCCTTGAAATGGTTGTAACCCTAACTAGCCGTGAACAGGTTCACGGCAATGAAATGGGAAACTTCCGGTGCACAAAATTTATTAAAGAAGTAAAGTTTAAAGAAAGGCTGTAACAATATAAAGGTAAATGTAAAAAAACAGGTATAACAGTATAAAACACTCCCTACACTTTATTATTAAGGCACTTACCCCTAAATGGGCCGAGAAACTGAATTACAGAAATAGATACATAAAGGCTGTAGACTTATAAATTATTATACATGATTAGCTTATTAACAGCTCTGACTGCTGTGGCGGTCGAGCTGGGAGTGACCGTGGTACGAAAACAAAACGAGAAAGTGAAGGAAGATGGAACAATTCAAATTTAAAATTTAAATACAAGTAAAATAAAAAAAATTATAAGACACAAGAGGAGAGAGGCGATACAAAGAGGTGAGATGACGGTGTAAGGAGGTCACACCGTCACATCCTTGTACAATAATAAACATGGGCATGCCCATGACGTCATAAAACGTCGAACCAAAAGCAGGATCCTTCTCTTGTTTTTTTTAATATTAATTTATTTCCGATCGGCCGCCAAGCCATAAGCGAATCTTTTGCACGATATAAGACGTTTTTGGTGGAGCGGCCAGTGCCGCAGCTTCCAACTTCAACGAAAGCCTTCTCTTGGCAATCTTACTACTGCTAACAGGATTTTTATTACCATGAGCCTGCAGCGTATAAATCGCATAAAATATTTATGTTGCAAATTGCATGGGGTCTTAGCCTAGTCACAAGAAGAACATTTGCCATAAAAACATTTTACGCAGTCGCTAGGGATTTCATGGTGAGATGTGTAGAATACATATTGGACGGGATAAAAGAACGGCGCGCAACTACAACTCTCCCCTCACTACCCCGCAGCCACTACCTATGGCGCGAACCCTGCTTGTACGGGCACAATATAACAATTTTATCAGCTCTTAGTTCCACACGCCGAGTTTTGTTCATATTTTATATGATACCTTAGTATAACGGGGCGAACTAGTGCGCCTGTCACTCTGAGACATAAGTTGACATGTGAATGCATGGTGAAATTACAGGCACATGGGACTTGTCAACTTATGTCTCAGGTTGACTGACGTAGTGACAATGCCCCTCAGACTTTACGATTTAAAGCTTTGAGCCGCACTGCAACTGCAACTGTTATGCACAGGCTTACCATCAGGCGCACGACTTGTTCGTCCCGTCATTAAATATTATTAAAAAGAACTTCACCAGTATCCTTTAAAACTGGAACATAATAATGCTTACATTCCTGCTTGAAGGCAGAAATAGATAAGGTATTTTGGCTCATCACAAAATTGAATCAAAGCATCTTATTAAACCAGGTACTGAATTTACTGTAATAAGTATAATACTTTAACATACCCCGGCATCATCCTCATTCTTTGTAACATGGTACGTAACAGTGCATATTAAATTTACGTGTACCTCAAACATGAATAGTATTATTTTAAACAAATAAATAAAAATACCTTATTTGTCTTGTGGGTTTGCTTTAAATGTGCAGTTTATAAAAAAAAAATATTCTTTTAAAATGTTTTATTGTCTATGGTCATTTTAAAAATAATATTTTAGCGCGCATTTTAAGAATAGGCGGGCAAGTTTTAAGTTTATAGTAAAGTTGTGTTTCATCGTGATTTGCCGTGGATGTATTACCTGATCTACCGTGTTCGCCCGACAGAGCCCATTTAGATTTTCATTTGTTTCGGTTTTTACAAAATCTGTTTTAAGGACACGACTTTGATAACGAAGAGGCCATCAAACGATACTTCAGACTTACTGTATTTTATAGGTAAAGCCAAGAATTTTTATGAAAAAGGAATTCTAAAATAACCCGAAATTTGGCAAAAGATTGTGGATCAACATGGCCAATTCAACATAAGATTAAAATTGGATGTTTATTTTTTTTTTATGTTTTTCATTTATACTTTGATACCGTACGGAATTTCGGCTTATAGACATGGTGTCTGGGATTTTTGTTCCTCGCTCCAAATTATGCATTTGCATTTTTATTTGAGACTGTCGTTGATATGGTATATTATTGCGTAACATGCTTTTTTCCGCAACTAAGACAGCAACCATACTAATTATTCATTCAACATTAGACTTTATTCCTAAGACATTTCGCGGGTTTGAAAATTATACGGTATTAATTTATCTCAGGATTTTTTTTAAATTCTCAATTTTTCGTGTCTCAGCTACTTTAATACCACACACGTGTATTTCATGTATCAGACGAAGACGAAACGAAAACCTGTTTTCATCTCGCTCATATTACAAAGGAAGGCCTATGTCCATCTCGTTTTATCGCGCATGCTCAATTCTTCCTGCTATTTGTTCCATGACATTATACTGTGGAGTCTACATGAAGTAAATAAAGTGGAAATTCCAGTGAAGCATTACTTTAGTTTCAGGAATGTGAATATTTCAACGATAAAAGCGTCCAAAATCGCAAAATTTGTCAGTTTCTCTCCAACCCTTGTGAAGTAAAGACGAATTTTCGTTTCGAAGCGGGAAAATTTTCTTTTTTTTCTCAGACAATGAATATGTTGTTTTAGTTGAATATTATTAGAAAAGTTTATTTGATGTCGTTATCAAACTTTCATAACTTATATACGTGAAATTAATTTAAAAAAAGTAACAATCTCATTTTAAAGAAACTCTTTATTTTGATACGAAATTAAATCCGTGCGTTGAAAACCGAATAAAAACAAAGTATCTTCTTGCTGAAGGTCAAAAGAGTTCGAATATCGATTGCCAATGACCTAAGCGGGATACAGAAGATAACATAATGGCACTAAGTTCTCTTACTCCGTCGAACATGCTCGGCGAACTTGGAAGACTCGCGAACTGGTTAAAAGGCGACTGTGTAGCGCCTGAAGAGTATGCCGGTTTGGCTGTCACGGAAAAGGTCAGTACTATGTAGTTGATGCAAATTAGCTTACGCTATTGTAATCATAAGCTTTACGACTTGCCGGAAAGCTTGTCATCAACGGTAATAAAGGCTTTACTGCTGCAATTTGATACTTTCATCCTAGTGATCTACAAAACGAACTGTTCCCATTCAAATTGAATATAGACACTATTTTGTATTCAATGTTAAGTTTGGAAATTATTTACACTTCGGCAACTGTAAGAACATTTATTACATATCTTAGATAGTGTGTCGCACATGTGTGTGTGTGTGTGTGTGTGTGTGTGTGTGTGTGTGTGTGTGTGT